GAACAGAAACGTCTTCGTAAGCTTCTCTCTTTTATGTGTGGGTTTTTTGTGTATCGTTCCAGTCACGGTATTGTGCCTTTTTTTTTTTAATTATCGGAACGCTATTCTCAGGTTTGCCAGGCGCCCGTGTAGACAGCCTGAACTGTCTGCACAGACAGCCCATGCTGTCTGCCAGCTTATTTCATATTTCACGCCATGCTGGTGCTGCCACGTATAGGCGTTGCCACTTCAGCCTGCCTGCCCTTGCCTCACTCTCACTCTCACAGCTGCCTAGCAGGAAGACACAAGGCCTACCCCTAGCTTTCTCTCGTGGGATGGCCCTGCCCGGGCCATGGGCACAACACACAAGCCTGTGTACCCACCACGACATTTTCAATAAACAAAGAAGCCTTCGAAGAAGTATATCTTTAACCACCCGCTTACAGGCTACCAATAAACCCATTAAACATTGGTAGCAGCGGTGGTCGGATCAGCAGTTGTTTTCCCAGAGAGAGGAAGGAAGAGGAATGAAGTCATCTTCACTTTATCACCCCATACAAGAAGCATCCGTCTCTCAACGAGTTATCCTGATGTCGTGTCTGGACGTTTGAGCATCCAGGCACAGGTACAAGCAGGATCCAGCCGAAATTTGCCGAATTTCTCCGAGAATTGTAAGTGGCGTCCCAGTGACTCCACGCTACAGTGTCCCACGCTGTTTCTCAAGTCACGTGTTCAGCGTCACTTGTATGTTGCTGTTGTTGTTCAGCTCATCACAGCTGTTTCAGCAAGCCAGAGGTGAATTTCGTGGCGATTTCTGCGTCCAGTGTGAGTTCTCCATGTGATTGTGGGAGGAGGAAGTGGCCGCTCCTTCCCTCGCCCTGCTGTACTCTCACGCCTCACCAGCCTACCATACACCACTCACCACTGCTCACTCCCTCTGCTGTGTTCTCTGCTGTTTTTCATGTGAATTCATTGCCAGAGCTGTGTATCCGAGTGCCCAAGGTCACTCGAAGCTACGTGGATCAGCATGCCACGTAGATCACGACGCCACGTGGATCCCGACGCCACGTGGGTGTGGGCGATGTCATGTAGACCTACGAAGCCACGTGAGTTACAAGATGTCCCAGGCCACATGCTGTGGTCTGCTGGCCACATCACATTGTCGTCACCCATGATGCTGCCCGAGTTCATGACGTCACAATGTCTGCCTGACATCACCTCGAGATGTCTGCTGACATCACAGTGCTGCTGACGTCATCACGCCTGACATCACATGATGTCACCATCGAGTGTTCAGTAATTATTTCAGTATTGTCGAGAAGATTGAGAGAAGATATATGTCATGTGTTAATTAATTCCTCTCAGTCAGTGTTCTCACATTTTAGTATGTCTTAGTGTCAGTTTTGTGCAGAGAAAAGCATCATTTGCTAGTTTAAGCCATGTTGTACCGCATGTACCGCGGGTGTCTAAAGTTTCCGTGTGTCCAGTGAGGTCTGAGCCAGACCTGAGTAGCACCACTGTGCTAAGTCACCCATGTGACCAGTGCATTTGACAGCTGTCAAGTCAGCCCCTGAGCCTGAGCCCTCTTGTACAGAAAGCTTTTATGCTCGTCGCTCGTGATGTTCTGCAGAATCGTACCTGCTACGATTCCCATCGAGATTTGTTTCACTTAACCTCCAGACCGTCAGAGTGCAGTTATATATAGAGAAACAAGTCTGGGGACGCTTAGACTAACTTCTGCTATAACTCCAACTGCTGAGAGAATGACACTCGCCAAGCCGCAGTTAGGCCTGTCGGCAGGCGCTGCGTCAGCCTCGTGTCACAAGCTTCAGTGAGCAGCCTGCACAAAGATGATGTCACTTTGACTGCTAGCTTGCTCACTGCAGTCTGGTGTATGATGTTACGACTCACAGATGTTTCTCCCAGTCATCTCTGCCACGACTCACTCCACAACTCGCTCCACGCTCGCTGGCAGTGACAGCCCAGCGACAGTACCAGTCAAGAAGTGTCCTCCTGAGTCCACTTGCCAAATTCTTTTTGATTGCCCATTGCCGAGTTTTGTCGACCCTCACTCGAGGGCACCAGCATGTTGTGCCCCAGGTTGAGTGAAAACCTGCAGCGACTCCTACGATGACTGCTTCACCATTCCAGAGACCGTACCCTGTTACATCACAGCCAGCCGCAAGCGATGTCTCCTGTGTTTGCGTATCAGTCAGACGCAGAAGGCTGCAGTGATGCCTTTTCGACGCTCACTGCCTTTGACACGATGTTTAGCACACCCCATATGTTTTTTTCTTCCCTCCTTGTAAAAAAAAAAAAAAAAAAAAAAAAAAAAAAAAAAAAAAAAAAAAATTTTTTTTTCCATGTCCATATGTATATATATGTTTTTATTTTGTGTTCTGTGCCCTGTTCCTACGAGAGAGAGACCGAGTTTCTTTTACCACCAGTATTGTCACGTCGGGACGACGCAAGGTAGGTGGCCGAGCATATGTAGACAGCCTGAACTGTCTGCCAGCTTAGTTCATAATTTGTGCCATGCTGGTGCTGCCACCTATAGGCATTGCCACTTCAGCCTGCCTGCCCTTGCCTCACTCTCACTCTCACAGCGGCCTAGCAAGGCCTACTCCTAGCTCCTCTCGTGCGATGGCCCTGCCCGGGCCATGGGCACAACACACAAGCCTGTGTACCCACCACGACTTAATAAAGTAAGAAGCCTCCGAAGAAGTATATCATTAACCACCCGCTTTCAGCTCTACCAAACAAACCATTAAACACCAGTATGCTGCAGCAGTTATTTGGAAGATGTGTGCCTCCGGTGATGTTGCTCGTGTTATGGTCCACGCCCAAGATCTTTCTCCCTGAGT